GGGAAGAAGAAAGGACTACCATTTCTAGATTTCAAAGTGGCCTAAATCTTGAAATAAGAGACAAAGTTGAACTTTTACTTTATAGAGATTTCAATGAGCTTGTTCAACTTTGTTTAAGAGTGGAGCATCGACTCAAAAGAAATTTTTTTAGAAAAGACTTCGCTCCCTCTTATTCCAAGAACTTCGAGAAGGAGGGCCCCTCTTCCAAACCTTATTCCAAAGAAAAAGAGCAAGAAAAAGAAAAATCTTCTTTTAAAGCACCTTCCAAAGATGCTAAAACAAGTGACATCAAGTGTTTTAAGTGTCTTGGCCGTGGGCACATTGCTTCTCAATGCCCAACAAAGAAAACCATGATTTTAAGGGGCCAAGATCACTATAGTAGCCTTGATGAAGCTACTTCCTCATCTTCGAGTGATGAAGAAGAAGTTTTAGAGTCCGAGGAAGAAACTTACCCATGTGAAGGAGACTTATTAATGGTAAGAAGGCTTCTTGGGAACCAATCTAGTAATTTAGACCAATCCCAAAGAGAGAACTTGTTTCATACAAGATGCAAGGTTTTAGAAAATACTTGTTCTCTCATTGTGGATAGTGGATCTAGTTGTAATTGTTGTAGTACTAGATTGGTTAACAAGTTAGCCTTGACTACTCTACCTCACCCTAAACCTTACAAGTTACAATGGATAAATGAGGAGGGAGGTATTGTGGTCAACCAACAAGTAGATGTACCTATCTCCATTGGCAAGTATAAAGATGAAATTTTATGTGATATAGTGCCATTGGATGCTAGTCACATTTTACTTGGAAAGCCTTGACAATTTGACAAGAAAACTATTCATGAAGGCCTTTCTAATAAAATAAGTTTCCACCACTTGGGCAAGAAAATTGTGTTGTGTCCTCTATCACCTTCCCAAGTGAGTGAGGACCAACTAAAAATGAAAGCCAAAAGAGAAGAGGATAAAAAAAAAGAAGAAAACAAAAGAAAGAAAAAAATGGTCTCCCCTTAAAAGCTAAAGAATGGGAAGAGAAGGTATCAAGTTTAGAGGAAAGTGTCCCCTCTAAAGAAGTTGCTCACAAAAGTCACTTATCCACTAAAAATGACATAAAAAAAATACTTAGAAACTAAAATAAAATGTATATGCTACCTAAACCATAAAAGGTTGACATGCAAGTACCATCACTCAAGGAATTACCAACATTTCAATCTCTCATCAAGAATACCAAAACTCTAATTCTCAACATACAACCTCCTTAGATTCAATCGTTACAACTATAGATTTTAGAAACTCCATCTACCATAAAATCTTAATACACTCGACAAATCAATGTCTCACCCACATCCAAGGTTTCAATAGTTTCTAGTTGGTTAGGACAATGCTTCCTCCACTACTACTTCTTACGTAAGCAATAAGTATCAAAACAAACAAGTAATCATGAGAATGAAGAAAAGAATTCATAAATAGCTGTAAGCGCTGAATATATCTATTGTGGTTTTTGAATTTTTAGGTAAAGAGATGATCTTTTTAGAATCTCATGTCTTCATAAGAGTTGTAGCTTATTCTTTTAGCTTTCTTTGAGATAGGTTTGAAATCATTTGGATGAGTATAACTCTTTATGTATCATTTTCTTTGACATTTATTGAAGGGATATATATGTTGTCATGATGTTTTTGGGTTGATTAGGCAATGCAATGATAAAAACTAATTTGGTTATGATGTTTTGAGGCGTTTCCATATGGATTGAAAGGTTGTCTAAGGTTGTATGATGCTAGGTGGTAAAGTTGATTCATGTACATGCTATATGGAGTAAACGGTGATTGATCCGTACATGCTTCAAGATGGTATATATGAAAGTTTAAAAGTAGGTATTCTAATATGATTTGATATCGTATATGTTGATATGTGGATAGATGACCTTAGGGATCATAAATGTCAAAGAAAATGATACATAAAGAGTTATACTCATCCAAATGATTTCAAACCTATCTCAAAGAAAGCTAAAAGAATAAGCTACAACTCTTATGAAGACATGAGATTCTAAAAAGATCATCTCTTTACCTAAAAATTCAAAAACCACAATAGATATATTCAGCGCTTACAGCTAGACCTCTAATCACCAAAGCAGCTATAACTAGAGTTTTAGATCTCCGTTTTACTTGATTCCAATTCCATTGGAAGGATAACATCCAAGGCTTCAACTTTTCTCAAGACTACAAAATCTAATTCTATTAATACAGTACTCATACTGGCACACAAAAAAATGCAATGAAAACATCCTCTACACCAGACAACAATCTAAGGCCACGAAAATACCTCAACCCTTCCAAACTCACTCCTTTTCACCTCAAACTCATATCCAAGCTTCCCACCAAAACAACTCACATATTCAGCACAAAAGACTTAGAAACTAAAATAAAATGTATATGCTACCTAAACCATAAAAGGTTGACATGCAAGTACCATCACTCAAGGAATTACCAACATTTCAATCTCTCATCAAGAATACCAAAACTCTAATTCTCAACATACAACCTCCTTAGATTCAATCGTTACAACTATAGATTTTAGAAACTCCATCTACCATAAAATCTTAATACACTCGACAAATCAATGTCTCACCCACATCCAAGGTTTCAATAGTTTCTAGTTGGTTAGGACAATGCTTCCTCCACTACTACTTCTTACGTAAGCAATAAGTATCAAAACAAACAAGTAATCATGAGAATGAAGTTTTCTTCAAAGAGGTGGTCCGTTTGCATGGGTTACCCAAGTCTATTGTGTTCGATAGGGATGTTAAGTTCCTTAGTCATCTTTGAAAAATTCTTTGGGAAAAACTAGGAACAAAACTTGTCTATTCCACTACTTGCCACCCACAAACTGATGGGCAAATCGAAGTAGTGAATAGATCCCTATCCACATTGTTAAAGGTCATTCTCAAAAGGAACAAGAAGACTTGGGATGAATGCCTCCCCCATATAGAGTTTGCCTGCAATAGAGTAGTCCATAAGACTACTAACTTATCTCCCTTTGAGGTTGTATATGGCTTTAATCCTCTTACCCCTCTTGACTTTCTCCTACTCCCTAATACTACTTCCTTGTATCACAAAGAAGGAGTATCAATGGTTGACTTTATAAAAAAATATCATGAGAAAGTCAAGAGCCAAATTGAAAAACAAACTGAAAAATATGCCAAATACAACAACAAAGAGAGGAAAAAGGTGACTTTTGAAGTTGGGGATTGGGTTTGGCTTCACTTGAGAAAGGATAGATTTCCTACTCAAAGGAAGTCCAAACTAAGCCCTAGGGGAGACGGTCCTTTCCAAGTCCTTAAAAAGATTAATGACAATGCATACATCCTAGACCTTCCCTCCGAATATGGAGTTAGTTCCTCTTTTAATGTTTGTGATCTTACACCTTTTGTAGGGACTAATGACATGGATGAGGTTGAAGATTTGAGGTCAAATCCTTCTCAAGAAGGAGGGGATGATGGAGGACCATCCTTGAGACATCATATAGGGTCTATCACAAGGTCCATGGCTAGGAGAGTAAAGGAAGATGAAGAACACACCACACCAAAAGCCATGAGCATCATGTGTGTGGATTTTGGGTCCTCTCCTTAGCTTGTTACTTTCCTTTCCTATTTTGCCCTTGTATTTTGGGGTACATTAGCTATTAGGATTTTATTGTGTATTTTTATTTAGCCTTTGTATTATGGGGAAAAATTAGGCTTAGGATTTATTTAGGGACTTAACCTTGACTAGTAAGGTCAAAAGTCCATTTCTTTCATTTTCTAGGACTAAGGGTGCTTTAGTCTTTTTTGGAGAGATGAGAGCCATTTCATTTGGGCTGCATCTAGGGTTCATTTAGGGTGCATTTGGGCTTGAAATTTTCGGCCAAATGCTCCCAAGAAACCCTAGGATGCTCTCCTCTATCTATAAGTACTCTAGTCCCTCCACCTTGTACCCACTTTGAAATATATGCATTTTGAGTGAGCCTTTGTGCCTCAAAATCCTTCCTTAGTCTCCTAGGGTCCTCATGCCCAACCTCCTCTCCTCTCTACCCTAAAGAGAGTTTGAGTTTTCCTTGAGTGGCCTCCACCAACCCTTGGTGGAGAGAGCTAGTCAAGAGCACCATAAACACCTTCTACCTTCTCTTCTCCATTTTTGCCCACCTTGACCCCCATCTCTTCAATATTGTTTTTTCACCACCCTTGAGGAACATCCAGCCATCATCCTTCTTCCTAGCCTGTGGAGAAAGAGGGAGCTCCTCCTTGGAAGCCAAAGAACACACCATGGAAGGAAGGTGCCCATCACTTTGAGGTGCCTCCAACGTAGCGAGGAGATTAGTCATTGTTATCAGCCTTGGATACTCTAGGGACGAACCTAAAAAAAAAAAATACTTATTATCTTTTATTTCAATTTATGGGTAATCAAAATATTTTATTCTAACAATTATTGTTTGTATTTTAAACTTATCTAATTAAATTTTTAAAATTCATTTTTTTAATTTCACTTATTGTTAATTAGTTTAATTTTGAAGAATATTTCAATGTTAATTTTATAATCTTAAAAATGCTGATTTTATTTGAATTTTAATTATAAACTTCAAACTCTTTTTAAGCATATTTTATCTTGCAGATTTTTATAACTTTTAAAAGAAAAAACTATTACAAATAACTAAAATGTATGGTTAAAATATTTTATTGAATATTTTTAAGATATATTTTTCTAATAAATATCCATAAGTATCTATAGATATTTATAAATATTAAAAAAATATGCAAGTAAATACTTAATAGATACTTTCACGCTTATAAATACAAGTACGAGACAAGTATTTATCTGATAAGAAAAATAATGGGAGAGTACTACCCGTAAGTGTCTTGCCGCATTCACATCGATCTCTAACTCTAACATTATTATTTACAAATGAAAATATATGCGATATAGAAAGAAAAAAGTGAATATTCACCTTGGATAGGCGGTTTGAATAATAATAACCACGATGCTTACGGTAAGTGCGCGCAGTAGAGTTAAAGTGCCGGTGCCGCTCTATTGACTTGTATCTAGTTGACTTGAACACCATACTTTTAGATCTAGTCTCCAATGTCCATTGACCAAGTAATTTTAAAAGATTGAAGCACCTATAATAGTAGAGAAGTTCGTCACAGATGGTGATGCCGACTACGCTGTTTATCATTGTTGCACAATCGCTGTTTATCACTGTTGCACAATCGTGACCTTTCCAGCTTCAGGTTCTCTCTTTTTTTCTACTTCACCTTTTTTGTTGCTCATTTTCTGGAAGAATTCATATATAGTATATACCTCCTTTCACGCTTTTATATAAATAATAGTTAGGTTGTCACACTCAAGTTATGTGGGCAAAACAAAATTTAATTAAGTATCTGCAAAGAACAGAGTTGATTCATGTTCTTGAAAGGCTTTCGTAGTCCCAGATAGAATGATGAAGAGAGATTGATTTTTATTAATTATAATGAATGAATATAAGTATATATATATATAGGTATATATATATATATATATATATATATATATATATATACTAATGTTGTAACAGAAAATTGTTGCAATAAAAATTTGTTTAAGTAAAAAGTTGTTATAGATTATTAGTTAACTAATAGATAAAATTCCTATAAATTTAAATTTAAGCTTTGGATTTGTTATCAGTATTTTGGTTATGATTATCTTTTTCTTTAACTATCCCCTTCAAGTTAGAGGGTAGCTTGACTACTCCTAGCTTGTCTCTTAATTGATTGAATCGAGTAAAGGTCAATGACTTGGTAAGACAGTCAACAGTTTGATTTGAAGTTGGAACATATGCAACAGTCACATCTTTGTTTAGCACTTGATCTCTAATATAGTGAACATCCATTCTATATGCTTGGTCCTTGAGTGATAAACTGGATTAGTAGCTAAAGCTTTGGCATTGAGATTATCACACCATAGTATTGGTGTTCTTGGTATTTTGAATTTAATTTCCTGCAACAATGACCTTATCCAAGCTACTTCTGCTGCAAGATTAGCTAAGGCTTTGTATTCTGACTTAGTACTTGACCTTGACACAATTCAATTTGTTTCTTAGATGACCAAGTTATTAGAATTTCTCCTAGGAACACACAATATCCTGCAATTGATTTTCTATCTTCAGTGTTTGTTGCCCAATCTGCATTATAGAAGCCTATTATGTCTAGATCAATCGATGGCTTTATATGTAGGCAATGGTTCATTGTCCCTTTTAGATACTGAACACATGTTTGACAGATTGCCAATGAATTGCAGTGAGTGCTTGCATATATTGACTGAGTCGATTAACAAAATAAGCAATATCAGGTCTTGTATTAGTTAAATACTGTAATGCACCAATTTCTCTTCTATAAAGTGTAGGATGTTGCATTAACTCAACTTCTTCAGAGAGAGATATACCAGTCACCATGGGTGTAGGACAGGAAGAGACATGCTCTAAATTGATTTTCTTTAGAAGATCAAAGACATATTTAGTTTGTTTGAGATATAGTCCACTTGCATCTCTACACACTTCTACTCCAAGAAAGTAATGTAGACTTCCAAGATCTTTGAGCTCAAACATGATATTTAGTTGTTTGATAAATAAGGATAGAAAACTGCTACTACTGTCGGTTATAATTATATAATCAACATATACTAGTAAAAATGTAATGTGCACCTTATTCATGAGAACAAAAAGAGAGGAGTCAGTTCTAGTGTTCGTGAATCCCCACCTAAGTAAGGCATTCCTCAATCTGTCATACCATGATCTTGGTACTTGCTTTAATCTGTAGATGGCTTTTGTTAGCTTACAAATATGTTGAGGTCTTGATTTATCCATAAATCCTTCTGGTTGCCTCATAAATACGGTTTCCTTTAATTCTCCATTCAAAAATGCATTATTTATATCCATTTGTCTAATTTCTCAATTGAAATGTACCGCAATTAATAAGATTATTCTCATCGTAATTGCTTTAATCACAGGGCTAAATGTTTCATCATAATCAAGTCCAAGAGTATGTTGAAAACCTTTAGCCACCAATCTTGCTTTTCTTCTTTATATTGTACCATCAGCTTTATACTTTGTCTTGAACACCCACTTGTAGTCTATTATATTTTTATGACATTAGTAAGGCACTTGAGTCCAAGTTTTGTTCATCATTAATGCTTTGAATTCTGTTGTCATGGCTTCCTTCCATTCTGGATTTTCTAAGGCTTCATAAGTTGTCTCGAGTTCTTGCTTTTTTAACATCTTTTCAACAACTCCTACGTAAGGTTTCTTAGGCTTGATTATTCCCACTTTGGTTCTTGTTTTCATTTGATGTTGATTGATGGACTTTGCATTGTTTTCTATTTTGTTGTTAACGAATGTTCTGGCTTATTGTTGCATCTGCTGTGTTTTGGTTCTTAGCCTACTCAACTTGATGCATGCTTTTAGTATTGCTGCTAGAATTGTTATTATTGTGTATGTTAGTGGATCCTTGTGATATGCTACTACTACTTCTAGTGCTTGAGCCATAAAAAAATGGAGAGGCTTGAGCTTCAACATTTTTTGTCTTTGAGTCCCTTCCATTCAACAATCTTTGTCCCTCATTTGGAACATTGGAAACCATAGTAAAACTAGGAAACAATAGACTTGTAGGGTCAATAATTATTTCAGCTGGTTTCCTTGTGTTTAGAAATCCATCATGGAAAGGAAAGTGATGTTCATTAAGTACAACATGTCGTGATATAAAAATTCTCCCTGTTGAGTTTAGGCATTTGTACCCTTTGTGAGAGCCATTATACCTTAAAAACACACATTTAGTAGTATGAAATTGCAACTTGTGATGATGGTATGGTTTTAAACAAGGGTAATAAGCACACCCATGTTGGTCCCAGTGTACTAGAATCTAGAAAGGGGGGTTGAATAGATTCTATCCTAAGATTTCTCTCTTTTACGCAATTCTTGAAAAATAACCAATCAAGAAGACTAAAATCTAACCTTTATGCAATGTGAGTAACAAGCACCAGTAGATTACAAGGTTTATTACTGACGTAGTAGAATATCAAAGTATGAGCAGCGAATCTATCACTAGTAATCAAGGTTGATTTTATATTACCTTTCTTTTAATTAGATTCAATTACAAGAATAAAGATCACAGTTGGTACTGTAATTGAAAATTCATTTTTCCAAATCTTTAAAACCTTTAAAACAAGAATTCAACAAGATTCTTTAAAATAAGGTTTAGAAGATGAAGAATACAAAAATTTATACTGGTTCAGCCACCCACTTGGCCTACATCCAGTTTTCCTTGATTTAACACCCCACCAAATCACAAATCATTCACTATAATATTGTTTACAAACACCTTGCATACCCAATATTACAAGAATATCAAAAAACCATCAATCTTGACACCCAAAGATTGAATACAATCAAAATTTATGTATCCCACATAAATTACTTGAGAAACCCTTCTCAAGATTTCATCATCTCTTGTTGAGATACCCTATCTCAAGAGATTCATCAATAAAAACGAAAATACAAATTCAAATATTAGAGAAATATCACCTAGTTCTGTGAAGATGTTGATCTTTCACTCTTGAGTTTAGTTCTTGAATTTCTTTTTTCAAGAATTCATGTCCTATCTTTGCATTTCTTGAAATTTTAGAAAGTTTCTTTGGTAAAACACTTTAATCTGTTTTTTTCTTTTGAAAATATTACTTTTCTTAAGAGTTCAAAAGTTCTCTTGGGTCTTTTTTTGAATTTCAAAAAGATTAATTTTATAAAGTGAAAGACGTAATTCAGTTATAAAGAGTAAAACAATAGTAATATACTACCTATGTAGATACTTTATTACCAGCTCTTTTAATTGAACCAGAACATGAAAACTATCCAGGGTAATCGATTATCCCAGGTGGTAATCGATTAACCCGAGCTTGAAAAGTCTCAAATTTGCATATCACTCTATGGTAATCGATTAACTATTTGGTAATTGATTAACACGATGATAACTTCATTTTTTCAGTCTGATTCCAAGCAAGAGACTCTGTTTTAATCTATTACCAATTTTGGTAATCTGTTACCTCGGAGAGTTCTTTAAAAATATGTTCACTAACAGACTTGGTAATCTATTAAGTAAAGGACATTTGAATATCTTTTTCCAGTAATAGGTTTGGTAATCTATTAACCTGAATGGTAGTTTAATTAACAAAGTTACCTTGAAAACTCTTGTTTTGAATCAAGTAATATTTCTATGTTTAAACACTTGGAAGTAAATTACCTTTTTCAAGATAATCTATTACTTCATGTTTACACATGGAAGTACTTAAAAAACAAATTAATGGATTTTAAAAGTTTGACAGATTCTTGAATTAAGCATACATCATCAAACATAAACAAACACACACACACAATAGCCTATATCTAATCAATCAATACAATATCCTTTTACATAGGCTTAAACACCATTTATACAATATCATCAAAACTAAAATTTCTTGAGGAGTCTTCTTGTCATTTCAATGATCTTCATCATTTCAACAATCTCCAACAACCCAAAGGTTTTCATGGCAGTATAATCTAGATTTTTATCAAACAATTGTTGGTAAGCTGACTTATTTTTTATAACTTGAGTGGGTAGCCTAATAATGAGAAATACGGCTGTGGAAAAAGCTTCCCACCAATAATGTAGTGGCATTTTGGCTTGAGCCAAGAGTGTTAGACCAGATTCAACAATATGTCTATGCTTCCTTTTAGCCCTTCCATTTTGGGCTGATGTATATGGACATGATTCTCTCAACTAAATTCCAGTTTCTATTAGTACTTTGCTTAAGGATTTGAACTCTCCACCTTCGTCACATTGAAATGTTTTAATTCTTTTATTAAATTGATTCTCAACAAGGTTCCTGAATTGAATGAAAGCTTGAAACATAGTTGATTTTTGTTTTAAAGGATAAATCCATGTAAGTCTACTCCAATCATCAAGAAATAAAACATAATATTTGAAACTTGATACATGATTAATTGGTGTAGGCCCTCAAAAATCAAAATGTACTAATTCAAGAGGTTCCTTAGCACATGATACATAATTTTGAAAAGGTAAATTATGAGCCTTCCCAAATTGACATGCTTCGCAAAATTCAAAATTAATTTCACATGGAGAAGCTTCAATGTTGCATAACTTCATCACTTCATTAAGTACTTTGCTATACGGGTGCCCATGTTTTCTATGCCAAGTCTCTTTTATTGAAAAAAAACATGTGGTCTTTTATTTGCTGAGGTAGAACCACCAGGTAGTTGATAGGGTCCATCCTTAATTTTCCATTCTAGTAGAATTGTCCCTATTAACTTATCCTTTACAAAGCAAGCAGCATCATGAAATTCCACACACACACACACACACACACACACACACATATCATTATCAAAAGGTAATTTAGAAATACTTAGCAAGTTCTTTGTTATTTTGGGGACATAAAGTACGTGTTTGAGGTTCAAGCTTCTTTGTTGGATATCAAGTCAACTATTACCACAAGCAATAATTTTAAGATTTGCAACATTGCCAATAGTCAAGAAACTCTTACCATCATTTTTATTCACCTCTTGAATCTTGTTCTGATCATATGTGACATAGTTACTAGCCCCAATGTCAAAGTACCAATCAAGATCTTCCACTGTACTTGATGAAGCTATGTAGGCATTAAAGTTGTAATTTTTCTCTTTGTCTTTTTCTGATTTTTGTTCGTCAAAATTTTGTCCCATATAGTTTTTATTAAATATGTGGTAGCAATGGCTTGCAACATGACCTGGTTTACATCAAACTTGGCATATAATTCTGTCTTTGGTTGCTTTGCCACGACCTCTACTTACTCTTGCACCTATATTAATTTGTCCTCCTCTCCATCCTCCAAAAGAGTTACTTCTACCTCTTCTAGTATCTTCTTTGGTTGCAATATTGGTTGATGGATTTAGAGTTAGATTTGATAGGTTATTAATTTTTTCTAAATGATTTTCATAGGTTAAAAGTTAAGCTTGCATCTCAACCCAAGTCAAATGCTCTTTGTCTGAAAGTTGAACCAGGATCGGGTTGTATTTGTTGTCCAAGCTCGCAAGTGTTTGAGTGATTAGATCCACTGTTGAAACTGAACTGTTAGCAAGTGCTAAGTTATCAGCAATTTCCTTCATTTTGATGAGATACTCTTCCATATTTAGTCCTCATTTTCTGGTTCTATGAAACTCAATTTTCAAGAAGGTGATTCTTGATCTTGTGTGGGCTCCAGCTAGACTTCGGACATCTTCCCAAATTTGTTGTGATGTTTCACAGTGAAGTAGTTGTTGTTCATTAACAATGAACTCTTAGGAGCACTTTGTTGTGCAAAATATGTAACCATCAAGATTGTGACCCCTAAGCAATGGTAACACCAATGATTTCCACAATCTGTAATTCCCTCTGTCCAACTTGACAGAGCAGGGAATGGAAAGGATATTTTTGAAGTTGGATGAGGAAGATGAATCAGAGTTTGCCATAGGAATCGAACGCAACTCTAGATACCAAGATAGAATAAATTGAAGATGATTAAGAGAGATTTATTTTTTTATTAATTATAATGAATGAGTACAAGTGTGTATATATATACAACAGAAAATTGTTACAATAGAGATTTCAGTGGAAAGTTGTTATAGATTATTAGCTAACTAATAGATAAATTTTTTATCTATCTAATAGATAAGATCCTTATAAATTTAAATTTAAGTTTTGAATTTGTTACTAGTATTTTGGTTATGATTATCTTCTTCTTTAACTGTCCTTCCCCCACCCACATTCCTTCCAAAACAAATGTGTAATCTCTCCCTATTGGTCAGAGTAAAATAAACTTTCGTGTTTTAAGTATTTATGTTTAAGGTTTAATTAATGATCTAATGACCATACATTGTTAGTCAAAATTATTTATGTTTAGGGTTTAATGATAATTATACATTGTTAGTTTAAAAGTTTTACATTGTTGATCCATAAAAATTACTATTCTTTTAGATATAAAATGATTGCTTTACTAAATATAAGGATTTAGTTCTTGATCCTTACAATTAACTATAGAGGCAGTGTTCTAAAAACCGGATCGAACCGGCCGGTCGGACCGGGAACCGTTGGTCCAGCCAGTTCGAATCTTAAGTTCGATCGGTTATGCAGTCGACCCGTTTCAAACCAGATTGAACCGGTCACTTTTCCGGTTCAACCGGTGAACCGGTGGGTCAAACCGGTTCAACCACCCTTTTTTATTTTTTATTTTATTTTTTTTAGGGACCATAAACCACAAAAATAATAATGAAAATTGAATCTCTTAATAGAAGAGCAAAGAGTCTTATTAAATATAATAATGACTACTTGTTTTAATGTATTTGTTTGTAATATATACAACTTAAATAACTTTTGTAGTATATTATTAATTTTAAATTATATATTTAATAATATAATATCTATGTAGATATTACATATATTATTTTTTGATATCAATTGCAAGCATATTATATATGTACATATTATTTATATTTTTAATTTGTATTAATATACAGTTTAACATGTAATTTTTTATGTATTTTTTTACAAAATAAAAATAAAAATAATTTTAAATAAGATAGAAAAATTGAAATTTAAAATAAGATATGAATTTATTAAAATTTATAAGTATAAAATATATTTAACATGAATATTTTTTTTAAATAATAAAAATCGAGTCATGCAGTTCAACTAATGATCCATCGGTTCAATCTTTGACTCACTAACCCAGTACCTTAACTGGTTTGATGACCGATCCATTTTTTAAAACTATGTATAGAGGTACTTATTAACTAAAAGTTAGCTTAGATATGATAATTATATAGTTGACTTGACTGACGCCAATATTCAATTTTGTTTAGAAAAATAAAAGTCTCCGAGTAAATGATTTGAACGATTCAAAAGTCCATAATGAACAAAGTTTTTATTTTAAGTTGCTATTCTTTTAGGTAGAAAATAATTACTTATTAATTATTTGTGGGTGGTGGCTAGATATATTATTCCTAAATTGATAACTTTCGAATTTAAAATCTAATTTTAGTTTATTTTTCCTCCTTTATTCAAAGATTGTTATTGAATACGTACCTTTTTGTGTGACGTCACTCTTCCAGAATTCGCTCACTTGCATTTTTTAAACTTGTATTTCGTCCAATTTTACTTGTACATTGTCCAGTTCTGCAATCTAAAAGGGAAACAAAGAAACCAATGGTGAAGGAAATGGTGTTGCAAGAGAATGGTTCAGTTGAAAGGGAAAATGGAAATAAAGATTTGATAAGTTGCATGGAAACCTTGTTAGAGAGTGTGGAGCTTCCCTTAGTGTCAAGTTGTTGTATCTACAAAGTACCTCAGAAAATTCGCAAAGTAAATGAAGAAGCCTACACTCCTAGCATTGTTTCCATTGGCCCATTTCACTATGGAGACAAGAGATTGGAATCAATGGAAGAGCTCAAGCTGAGATACCTCAAGAGTTTTCTTGAAAGGACTCAAAAGGGGTTAGGAGATTGCATAAGATACATAAAAAATTCTGAACAAATTATTAGAAGTAGTTACTCAGAGACCATTAAACAAAACAGTGATGATTTTGTGAGGATTGTTTTAACAGATGCATGCTTCATAATTGAGAATTTTATAAGATCTCTAGAGTGGCCACAAGAAGATCCTTTGTTATCCAAACCATGGTTGAGATGCGATGTGAAGCTTGATCTGATATTGCTTGAAAATCAACTTCCATGGTTTGTTCTTGAAGAGTTGTTCAACCTGACAGAACCTATTTCCAATGGAGAGGTTTCCTCATTTATTGAAGTTGCTTTTCACTATTTTAGGGTCCATTTCCTACAAAGCATATTACCCGGAGTAGATAGTAGAAACTTCACCTTCAAATATTTTCAACAGCACTACCAACAGTATATAATGAAGCCAGATCAAGTTAGTATGCAATTGCAAAACCTAACTGATCTACTTAGGATCTTTTACTTGCCACCTAATAGGTTACCAAAAAGAGAAAAAAAAACAGTGAAACATCTATATAGTGCAAGCCAGCTATTGGAGGCAGGTGTGAAGCTCAATGTTGATCAAGGCAAAAGTGCACCTGAGTTACAATTTGCAAAGGGTGTGTTGACAATACCAAGATTTGAAGTTTGTCACTGGACTGAGATTCTCATTCGAAATGTGGTTGCATTTGAGCAGTGTCATTATCCATTTCAGACCTACATTACTGATTACATAATCCTCCTGGATTTCCTCATTGACACTAGCCAGGATGTTGATACACTTGTTGACAAGGGAATCATGATTAACACATTGGGAGATAGTGGTGCAGTTGTAAATATGGTTAACAGTTTGTGCCTAAATGTTGTCCAGGAAAATGTTAATGATACCTATGTTTATCTCTGTAGGAAACTGAATCACTTCTATGAGAACCCTTTCCACAGATACAAGGCAACCTTTATGCATGACTACCTCGGCACTCCTTGGAAAATAACATCTTTCATAGCTGCAATTGTATTGCTTATGCTTACTCTAATTCAAGCCATATGTTCTATTATCTCTTTATTTGACCAAAAATAAAGAGACTTTAGGTCAAAACTTTTGTACTCTCCATTCTTAAATAACATTATAGTATTAACTTTTCTTTCATAGAGTAAGATAAAGTAAAAGAATGGTACCACTAATGTAATGAAAAAATATATATGTTACGTGTAGATCATAGATCGGATTAGGTGACCAGGTATTGACCTTTATCCGTCGAATCAGGATGAGGCATCGGTGGAATTTCACTTTTATTAATCTTGGTATACATTTGGCTCAGGTTGACTGAAATTAAGGTTGAAAAGGCCGTCTAACAAAGGCTCATAGTCTAGTTTTTACGAGGAGGACTTATAGTGTAGTTTACAGCAGTTTCATTGAGAACTAATTTCCATTGAGGAACTTAGCTGATCACCTTTAATAAGTCTCATCTTTCAAGTCTGGAATATTTTTTTTCAATATAAAATAGTCAAACACAAAATATTATTTAAAGGGATTGAATTTAGTACTACTTAGATCAATAATTTTTTAATTAATTAAAGTTTATTTAGTTAAAAAGATCAGAGTTTAATTAAGTCATTTAAAAAGCCTTTTAGAACTATAGACCAACTTTTTTAAATAAAATAAATAAATATTTATTCTTATTATTATATCAAATTTGTTATAATGTAATAAATCATATATTAGCTTACCTTTATAAGTATTAAAGATGTTAACTTATATAAAAAGTAAAATCGTATAAGTTTATTCATAAATAAATTTATGTAGCATTTGGAAATCTTGTTACAATATATGTTTAAAATAAGTTTTATTAGTCATTAAAAATATATCATGAATGTCACATTATACCTTAAAAATATGCTTATAACATAAATAAGTTAGATTTAATTTTGTAAAACTTAACATATTTATTTTTAATTTTATATTAGTGAGAAATTTTTACAAATAAACTATTAAACAGACTTTTAGAATCATATAAAAATTTACATCATTCACAATTTAATGCAATTAATTTCATGAAAAAAAAATTAAGTTATATATAATGGTTACAATTTTTTTTTTAAAAAAAAGAATATATATTGGTTACAACTATCCTAATTAATAGAAAATAATCTAATTACTTCAAATGAAAATAATGTAACACCTCAATTTTCACAAATTATATGAGGACTCAAAGCCCAATAAGGGTGATTTAGTAGCACAGAACAGACCGTTCCAAACTACTAAAATGACCTATAAATCCTAGTTGGGAACGGGCCATTCCCAAATTTGGAATGAGGTGTTCCAAACCACCACAAAAGAACTATAACCCTAGTTAGGAACGGGCCATTCTGATTTAAGAACGGGTCGTTCCAGATGAAGAATACAGGAAGAGTTGGACCTTGAGAAGACTAGTGGGCTTGTCAAGCCCAAGGTAATCTTCACTTGGAATGCTCTATCATGAAGAGAAGGCCTAGTTCTATTTGTATACATTGTACAGTTTATACATAGTCTTTTGTATAGGTCATTTTTGCCTTTGTATTTGTGAGGCACTCTATTTGCTTATCTTAGTGTTTGTATATTGATTTTGAGGTAGGTTACTTGGAGAGTTTAACTCCATTTAACCTCCCTAGTTGATACTTTCATTTTGTATTTTTTCAGTAGGGAAAAGGGGGTGACATTTAGCAATGCTTGAGGGTGTGCTTAGAAATTGGGCCTGAGTTGGGCCTAGGCAAAATTTTACATATTGGACTCATTTTGCTCCTAATTTTTCATAGATTTGATTTAGCTAGGTCTCATCATCATATGATGAACCTAACTAAACCAAATCAAAGATTTTCAAAATAATTCATGGAGCAATTTTGGTTCAAGGCCGCCTAGCTTACTAGTTCTCACTTGGCCGAAATTTCTAAGTTTCCTTCTTGAGTTTTGAAGCTTGTCTTGCAAGCTTCTAAACTCAAGTAAGGTTAGCTCACCTTACCATGGTTCTTAAGTGAACCATGGTCAAGGTTAGCTTCTCCTACAAGCAAGCTAAACCGTGGGAGTTTAAGTTAACCCTACCATGGTTCCTAGTGAACCATGGTTAAGGTTAGCTTCTCCTACAAGCTACCTCCCCCTATATATTTGATTTTCCTACTGTTGTACTCACTTTTGAACATTTTTGAGAATGAAATCAGATTTTCTCTCAACTCAAGAGTCCCTAAAACCGTAGAGAACCTCCACTCTAGGTTTTCCCTCAAAGTTTCTTCAAACTTTGTTTTGGTTCATCAAGCTTCTACTCCAAGCTTAAAGTAACCGAACCTCCTTCCAAGGCTTCTCCTCCATTGAAGACTTCTTCAAGGAGAATTCGAACTTATCATAAGGTCAACCTCAAGGCATTTCGGTCCTTAGCATGGAATCATTGAAGGAATCACAATCTACTTCAACTAGTTCCATCAGATGTGAATTTTACACATGATAAAAGGATCTAGAACGGACCGTTCTGAACCCGAAACGGGATGTTCTGTCCACTTCTTACATCTATAAATAGTAGACTCTAGCACTACTTTTGAACACACTCTCTGGTGACCAAGGAGAACCAAGAGAAGGAGATCAACCAAATTCTACTTTAGCCTCGTCTTCTACTTATCGATGGAAGGGGGAGTGAGAAACCTTGCTCGAGATTGTGGGAATAATTGTTGGGTAGTTGGATTGGCCCTCAATCCCTTGCTCGATGCATGCTTCTAGGAACAGACAAAATATGAAATTTTTTTGTTTTACTTTCTGAATGTTCTGTTGCGTTCTTTGTGTAATGTTGTGTATAAATATGTGTTTAATTTCAAAAATAGACAAGTTTTGATATGAATTAGAGTGCTCTGTGGGTTCTTGTGGGAAACCCTATAAAATAAAATTAGGGATATGATCTTTGGATGATGTTGAGGCACTATATGTAAAATTGATGATGGCTTCATGTTTTGGATAAGTTCTTGGTATGATTTATGTATTATTTTGATGTATATGACTACAAGAAGTTCCTTGTATGAGATTATGTGAATATGACGTGAGGATGTGAAAGGTGAACATATGATCTGTGATATGATATTATGAAATAACGTGACATGAGATATGATGAGACGTGATAAGTGAAATGTTGAGTTAATGAAATCGTGAATGTGTGACATACATCTTGTGCATATATGATCTATTCCAGGTATGCTGCTTAGGCCGCATACCAGTGATGTAACAAGCTAACAAGGTGTACCTTGGGTCACCAATGATGTAACAAGCTAACAAGGTGTACCTTGGGTCACCAGTGATGTAACAAGTTAACAAGTGTACCTTGGGTCACCAGTGATGTAAAAAGCTAACAAGGTGTATCTTGGGTCACCAGTGATGTAACAAGCTAACAAGGTGTACCTTGAGTCACCAGTGATGTAACAAGCGATTCTAGGTGTACCTTTGGTCACCAGTGATGTATTCATGAATGAACGTGCCCCCAGGTATGTTGCTGTAGTAGCATACCAGTGATGAGAAATGTGAGACTTCCATATGGCGCCACCTACATGCATTTATGAGTCGACTCCATGACATCATTGTATAATAAATGAGTGTACATGTGATACTGATTATGTATGTGTATTGTTTATCTGTGATTGGTGCTTGTGACTTGTAATATGTTTGTTGTGTGTGTGTGCTATCTAACCTTTATTTCTGCACCTAAACTTGAGTGAGATGTTTCTCACTCCCTTGTTGTTCTTTGTATGTGTTTAAATTATGTTACAGGTGATCATCAGCATGAGGATGTTGGTGATAAGGCTTAGGCTTCAGTTGGGCATGCTCTGATAGGATATGTGACATCGGGGCATAACTAGGCTTAGTTTAGGATGATATTTCCATTAAACTATTTGAAAACTCAGTTTTATTTCTTTGTAATTTTACTGACATGTTATTTGGATTAAGTTTATGAATGTGAACTCTTTACCCTTATGTGGTTGGAGATTTGGTTTTTAATGATGAAGAATTTTATTTTTATAATTACTGTGTATGTATGTTGAGGTAGAAGGTGTCACAAATAATATTAATTACATTAATTAATACTCTCTTTATTCTCTATTATAACTTTATAAGCAAAATTAAAAAACATTTTTTAAATACAAGTAAAGTTCAACTACTTTTACCTCATTTAATGATGTTTTTCATAAATATCTGTATTTAATGAATGATTATTCGGTTGCAATGCTTTTAACGTTCATAATAAAGACAATTTAGAAAAATATTATGAAATAAGTGAAATTTAATACAGATACCTAATTTTCTTAGTATACATAAAATTAGTTTTTTTTCTTCTTATAATAGAAAATAGAGAAAGTATATATTATTAGGCATGGAAATCTAACCCGCTCCCGTGGGTGCCCACTCGAACCCGTCCCGATTTGGACGGGGAAAACTCGCGTTGACCGGGTTCGAGTTCGGGTTTGGGTTTTCCTTAATTGACAAAATTGGGGTGGGGGCGGGGGCGGGGGTGGGGAAGGGAAACCCGAAACCTGCTGAATGGAGACGGGTACCTAGATTTTACCCCAACGAGTATCGGAGGCGGGGGCGAGGGTGGTTTAAATCCAGGGGGGCGGGGGCGAGGAACATAAAACCCCCCTCGCCCCGGGTTAGGATTAACATTAGAGTTTGTAACACCCCAATTTTCATACCATTTATTAAGGATAATTTAGTAATTTTTCATAAATTTTTAGGGGTGGTTTAGTAGCATAGAACGGGCCGTTCCCAAATTGGAATGGGTCGTTCCAGTCTACTAAAACAAGGGTAATTTGGTAGCCTAGAACGAGTCGTTCCCAAGCTGGAACAGGCCGTTCCAAACTACTAAAAAGGCCTATAACCCTAGTTAGGAACGGGTCATTCTAAATATGGTTGTTATGGTTTAAATGCAATCTCATAATGAGCCGTTCTGGTTTGAGAACGGGCCGTTCTGGATGTGAATTTTACACATGACGTAAGAGTCTAGAATGGGTCGTTCCAGATTTGAAACGGGCCATTCTGGCGACTCCTGATGCCTATAAATAAAGCGTTTTGGCACTCCCGAAAAGCACATTTTTCACTTCTAACTTCTTTTCTTCTACATTGCCTTCTTTTCTTCTACACTCTCTAAAGATTGAGGGAAACCTAACGGAGGAGACCAACCAGATCCTGCTTAGTTTCAACTACTACTTATCGAGGTACAGGGGAAAATGGGAGATTTATGTGTAGAGTCACGTGAGGGAATGAGTGGAAAAGAGTTTCTGTGGAAATTTTAATAATTTTATAATTGTTTCTATTTGGAGAATTATTTATATTATGAGATTCTGTATGTGTTTAGGATTATGAATATATAATTAATTTGTAAATATGATGATCTGGGAGAGAGAATGAAATTGTAGAAAAGTGCCTGTGAGTTAGGTTTTGGGAAAAATTGGGGGTTTTACTATTTGAGT